GGTGGCACACACCTATGAATCCAGTGGAGATTGAGGCAGGAGGATACCAAGTTTGAAGCCAGCCTCAGCAATTTAGAGAGACCTTGAGCAACTTAGTGAGACATTGTCTTAATGTAAAAAATACAAAGGATGGGCTGCAGTCCAGCAGTAGAGCCCCCAAGTTAAATCCTCAGTACATAAACAAGTCAGTCACTTGCAGTGGAGCAGCAAGGTTTGTACTCAGAGCAAGAAGTGGACCAGCTTACAGGACCACAGGTATGCTCCACCTGGTGTGGCTTGGAGAGAAGGGGACTTCCTTTTTGTAACTATAAGAGTACAAAGAACTAGCAAACACTAAGTGGAAGTTTGCCACCCCAATGTCCCCCCCCATTTAAATCTAACTAAGTCATTTTAACACAAGATTATCATGATAAAAGAGCAAAAAAAAAATCACATTTCACATATTTGAGGAAGTTAGAGAAATATGCTTTCTCTGGGGTCGGTGTATACTCTGAGGCCTGGAAAGCAATATGGTCCTAGTAGAAACTCCTCCTGTGTGTTGGTCATGGGCTGGCCACCCTAGAACTATAGATCAGCCCCAGGTCTGGAATCCTGCTGTGGGACCAGCTCCCCTTAGAACTGATTTTTTTTTTTTTTCCTGCCAGGGATTGAACTCAGGGGCATTCAACCACTGAGCCACATCCCTAGCTCTATTTTGTATTTTACTAGAGACAAAGGCTCACTGAGTTGCTTAGCGCCTCCCTAAATTGCTGAGGCTGGCTTTGAACTCGCGATCCTCCTGTCTCCGCCTTCCTAGCGACAGGGATTACAGGCGTGCGCCACCGCGCAGGGACTCATCCTGATTCTTATCAAAATACCCAGTTCCAGCCGGGCGCGGTGGCACATGCCTATAATACCAGCGGCTGGGAAGACCGAGGCAGGAGGATCTCGAGTTCAAAGCCAGGCTCAGCAATTATCGAGGCGCTAAGCAACTCAGTGAGACCTTGTCTCTAATAAAATGCAAAATAGGGCTATGGAAGTGGCTCAGTGGTGGATTGCCCCCGAGTTCAATAGCCGATGCAAAAAAAAAAAAAAAAATCAGGATGAGTCTGAGAGCAGAAGTATCTTGCCTCAGAGTCCGCTAGACCTCAAAGGGATCTGCAATTTCAGCTCTACTCAGCAGTGCCCTGCCAAGAGGACTTGCCCTATCAATAGGGGACACGGGCAAATTCCAAGCCTTTTATCTGACATAAAAATAGTTTTAAATAACAAATAAATACTGAGAAGGTGGAGGAATAGAGCTGAGGATACAGCTCATTGAGTGCTTGCCTCGCAGGCACACGGCCCTGGGTTCAACCCCCAGCACCACAAAAAAAAAAAAAAAAAAAAGAAAAGCAAAGAAAGAAAGAAAGAAAGAAAAAAGAAAAAGAAAAAAAGAAAGAATACAAGGTGGAGACAAACTGCTTACTACGATAGACAGCTCAGGATCTATTCTGACACTCTGGAAGTTCTCCAGATCCTGACACTCCTCACCAAAAGCGAGATGGGGTATGGGAGAACCGCCTCCTCAGTAAGAAACGGTGAGCCTTCTGGTTCAAGCCCCTCGGGGTCATCATCCCTCGGTGGCGGTGCGATGACATTTCCACAATTCTACAGCACCGATCCCTGTCGGGACCCGTCCCGAAGCTTCCATCCTTCGTATCCGAAGCCCAAGGTGCAGACTTGAGGTAACCGGCCCCTGGGACTCGAGGCTTGTCAGCTATGATTGGTGTCACGCCCTCTTGCTCTTCCAAAGACACACAGGGCTGGGGCCTTAGCGCGGTACACAAGGGCGGACCAGAGGCGGTCAAGCGGCACCGAGGTTCTCAGGGCCCCGACGGCACCGAGCGTCGGGAGAAGCACCGGCGGCTGGCGCTCGGACGCGAGCGACTTAGCTAGGAGAGGAGGAAGGGACCGGCATGAGGTACAGCGCCGGACGACCTCGCTCCACTGCACAGCTTCCCACCAACCGCGGTGGAGC